CCCGGCGGGCAGTCGCCTACCCCCGACTGCCCGTTGGGACAGTACACGGGCAGCAGGTAGGTGGCGGGCACCCCTGCCCCACCTACCCCCCACTGACTCACATGTATTTTTTCAGTCCCGGGATCTCTCGTGGAACCCGAAACCATGTCCAAACACATTCAAACACATAACGACAACACCACGTATTCAATTAACGGAATTAAATCAAGAATCACACCGAATACGTTCTAACACGATTCCTAAACACGCCAAGACTCCACATTAATCATAGAACGGTTCAGGAACATCCTGAACCACAAGAACATCAAGAAATCTATATGCAAAGTCCTAAATACAAGTCCTAGGCTAGACTCAACAACCGATCATGCATAATCCCACCCAAATATACCAAGAACATCATAATACGAAATTCACGATATAAACCCTAGCGATCTAGATATAATTAAAATACAAGATCATACATATAATCAATCGAAATATCAAGAACATCAAGATTGTCAAATAAGCACAATATAAACCATACGCAAGGGCTCTATCAAGACTCAATCACAAAATTACACATACGATTATCAAAGGAGCCAATAGATAAGATATAGCAAGGAAAGTAGGTTTTGTTGAGACATGGGTTACCTTGTAGCCTCAATTAATCCTCCCTTGGCTATTAAGGTTCTTCCCTAAGACTTCCCTCCAGCTGATCTCCCTAGGCTTGGTGGTGGGGGAATTTTCGGGGAATAATTTCGTGTAATACAACTATGGGTGGTGAGGGTTTTAGTTGCCTTCTAATCCCCTATTTATAGAGTTATGAATCCTAATCAGAGTCTGAATAGTAAAGAACTATTTTCTATTCCTAACAGGTATATAGGTCTAGGATTCCTAATTAGAATCTGAGTAGTAAAGGCCCACTTTCTTTATTCCTAATAGACTTAAAGTCCTTATTATAAACAAGGATCCACGGTCCATGGTAGACCATATTAATTAATTAAAGGGAATCCTAACCAAATTAAATCATTTTTAATTATTATTAACGGAATTAATTAAATAATTAATTCGGGATTAGAGTCCGTAACACGGGGTGTTACACTTTAGGTACACATTCGTACGAGTTTTCCAATAGGCGTAGTTTGATCCCACAAGTTGAGGAGGTCTATTTTCCCTTTCATATTAAGATCTGTAAACCAAATAACAAAGAGAACGAACAAAACAAAGATACAAACACAAAGTGGCAGAGTATTTACAGTTTTCAAAAGCACTTAGGGCAAGAAAGAAGTCAAGAAGATGATTCTTGAAACCTATTCTGATACCTGAAATTCGTGGCAATTAGCTAAGAGTCTGATTACTTACGAATGATCTAAGGGGGGTGTATTCAATCATGACTTTTGTAGAGTTTTAAAGACTTTTAAATTGAGAGATTTTAATAAACTTTGATTGACTTTCATAGAGTCATTCAAAAGTTTTTAAAACTTTATAAGATTCTATAAAAGTCTATATAAAAAACATTCATAGACTTTTATCAACTTTTTATTTTAAAAAGTCTAAAAAAGTCATTGAAATTCTAAATTGAATACATCCTTACAAACTTTCAATGATTTTGATTCTTATAATTTATATAATTTTCTTACAAAATATTTATAATATATCATAAAATTTTCTTATTATATAGTTCTTCACCCACATCAACATTCTCAACATTATTATTTTTATCCATAGTATAGACATAAAAGAAATTCATTAGAAATTCATAACAATATTGAATAATAAAATTTATAATAAAAGAATTGATCAAATAAATATAATTACAAGTTGCATAAAATAAAATAAAATAAAAATCTAATATATATATATATATATATATATATATATACTTGATATATTGCTAGACATCACGCAAAGAACTATTATTTGCAATAAGAGACTGCGAAGAAAAAATATATATTACGAATATAAATATAAAAAGAATAAAATCAAAATATATAAGTATTTATATGAATATTATGAAACATATACTAAAATTTGATGATGAAAAATTTTACTTTGTTCATGTATTTAGGGAGAATTAGAGAAAGTTATTAGGAATAAAAAAAAATCATAGAAAAAAAAATAAAAATCAATATAAACAAGCAATAATGAAGTAAAAATAATATTAGGGAAAATGACACTTTTTCCTCCTGTGTTGTTTACTAATAGCACATTTTCCCCCTGTGTTGTTTATGTAACCACTTTATCCCCCTCAATTATTTTTGAAGTGGCTATTTTCCCCCCTCTCCGTTAAGTAAGTGTTAGGGTTGTTAAATATGAGGGTAAAAATGACATTTCACTTATTATTATTATTATTATTATTATTATTATTATTATTATTATTATTATTATTATTATTATTATTATTATTATTATTATTAATGAATGACCCCACCCAACACCCCTAATATACTGCAGTACTCCACGCCTAAAATGCACAGTTATATTGCAAACCAAATTCATTACTAATAATAATAATAATAATAATAATAATAATAATAATAATAATAATAATAATAATAATAATAATAATAAGTCCCACACAACGCCCTAATATACTGTAGTACTCCACGCTTAAAATGCACAGTTATATTGCAAACCAAATTCATTACTAAATTACTAATAATAATAATAATAATAATAATAATAATAATAATAATAATAATAATAATAATAATAATAATAATAATAATAATAATAATAATAATAATAATAATAATAATAATAATAATAATAAGTGAAATGCCATTTTTATCCTCATATTTAACATCCCTACACTTATTTAACGGAGAGGGGGGGAAATAGCCACTTCAAAAATAATTGAGGGGGATAAAGTGGTTACATAAATAACACAGGGGGGAAATGTGCTATTAGTAAACAACACAGGGGGAAAAAGTGTCATTTTCCCATAATATTATTTTGAATTTTTAGAGGAAGATGGTAAAATTTAGGAGAGAGAAAAATTGGTAGAGTTTAGGTATGAGGAAAATATAGGATAATGAAGAAAAAAATAATTTTATTAAATGTAGATAGATTTATAAAGTTTAAATAGGAAGAAAAAATAGAGTTTAAATAGAGAGAGAAAACATTCAAAGTTGTTAGAAAGAAAGTTTTGAAATCTTGAGGTTGATGGGTGGATTTCAACTATTTATATTTGATAAGAAAAAGTCTACAAAAGTCTTAAAATTAAAAAGTCTACAAAAGTTCATAACTTTTGAATATCACATGACTTTTAAAGACTCTCTAAAACTCTTAATCGAATACCACACAACATTTAAAGACTCTTTAAAAATCTTGATTGGATACCAGCTGACTGTTAAAAGACTCTCTAAAAGTTTGAATTGAATACCCCCAAACTTTTAAAGTTCATAAAAGTCTTTAAAACTCTATGAAAGTCATGATTGAATACACCCCCTTAAGTGTTAGTTAAACCAAAAAGTACCAACTCAGTTGAGTGCTTAACGCTTCCTAATCGAACAATCACTGAACTAGTTCCAGAACTATCATATTAAAGCAATTTGCATAATTAACAAATAGGTAACCAAATGAAAGCATTAAATAAGGAACAAGATTTGGTAACTCAGTACGCATACTCCTACATCTGGGGGAGGGGGGCATCCCATGTTAAAGACTGCCCAATTCATCCATTAACTTCAGAAAAGAGATTTACCGAATCAACAAGAAGAGCACAAAGAAGTCAATCGAAGATGCTAAGGACTTAGCTAGGTTGAAGAGTTCTTTCTTTAGTCAACTGGCTTGCGATATGCTATCTTCAAAATTGAGGCTCTCCTCAATTAGGGATTACCACGGTTCGGTTTGAACCGTCCAGTTCAAACAGACCGTGCACTGTTGGAACCGGAACAGACGGTTCCGGATCTATGACATTTGGAACCAGAATCGCCAATTATGGTTCCAAACCGGAAGAAAATTTATTATTTGATTAAAGTGTAAAACTTTAAATAACATTTTAAAGTTCAACGATAACATTTTTTTTTTAATATTTGATTAACAGAAAAAAAAGTTTTATTATAATCGGAAGAAAAAAAATTTAATTATTATTTATTGTTTGGTTAAAGTTTAAACTTTAAATAACATTTTAAAGTTCAACGATAACAATTTTTTGTTATATAGTTTAACTTTGAAGTTTAAATATTTCATATAACTATTTTTTAAACATTTTAGAATGAAAAATTTTCAAAAAAAAATTTAATTGTTGAGTTTGGACAATTTTAAAAATACAAAATAAAAATTTTAAAAAAATAATAAATAAAAAATAAAAGTCGGGTTCGAACCAGAACCACATGTGGAACATTTATACAAGGTTCGGTTCCGGTTCGGTTGATTCCGCAACCGGAACCGAACCGTGGGCATGACTACCCTCAATTGCAACTTGGTTTTACTCCTGTCAATTCCATTTGGATTATCTGCCAATAATCAATAAAGATTGATATGATTGACTTGATATGATTTCTAGTTAGCTCTAACGAAAACAATCAAGTCCCATGTTTAGCTCAAATCGATCTCTAAGTGTATCAATTCTCTTTGTAAATTTGTCCATACGGTTGAAGAAGAATAAGATGGCCTTAATATAGATGATCCCCGTAAATTATTCTATGGTTGTAACTGTCTTGAACTACTCATTGAACAATCTTGAGTTAGTTCAGTCTTTAGTCTTCAAGTTTGAGAATTGAACTATTTCCTACTATTACAAACTCTAGTTCGGAGTTCTAACTACTTAATACATAGACTGAACAAAATGTTGAACAATTGTTTTGTTCAATAAAACTTTAACAATATAGAGGGGCAAAAAGTGTCTTCGTAAAATATTTTTGTAATAATCATTTTATTAACAACTGGAGTCCGAACCAGAGGCCGGAATGTTCAGGAGCAATCTTGTTGAATCAGCTAGCTATCCATGTTATACATCCCTCATTGAGCCAAAGAACTACAAAGAAACTATCACAGATGAACACTAGAGTAGGGCAATGTCGGACATACTGGCGCAGTTCGAATGGAATGAGGTATGGGATCTAGTTCCTTGTTCTTCAAATGTTAATGTTGTGGGCACAAAATGGATTTTCAGAAACAAAACAGATGAGCATGGAAATGTTGCCTGAAACAAAGTAAGACTAGTCGCACAAGGATACTCTCAAATTGAAGGTGTGGACTATGATGAGACGTTCACTCCGGTAGCAAGACTAGAATCAATCCGACTTCTACGGGCAGTGTTTTGCATTCTAAAATTTGAACTCCATCAAATGGATATCAAAATAGCCTTTCTGAATGGCTTCCTGCACGAAGACATTTATGTAGTGCAGCCAAAATGCTTTGAGGATCAACAGCACTCAGACTACATCTTCAAATTAAAGAAAGCTCTCTATGCACTCAAGCAAGCACCTCGAGCATGCTATGAGAGACTGACTTGATATATCCTCAACAATGGCTATTAGCGAGGGGGCAGACAAAACATTGCTCGTTAAGTTTCAAGGAAGCATATTATTGTGACACAAGTCTACGTGGTTGATATCATCTTCGGATCTACATCTCGAACTAGCCCGGGAATAGTTCATAGAAGTTATGTAACAGGAGTACAATTCAAAATGAGTATGATTGGAGAATTAACTTGTTTTCTTGGACTCCAAATAAAGCAACTCCAATTAGGATTGTTTATATCTCAGGAAGAGTATGCCAAAAACTTGTTAAAAAGATTTAGCTTGGACTCAACCAAAGAAGCTCGTACACCTTTGTCTACCACAACCAAACTATCTAAGGACAACGCCTCAAAATCAGTGGATGCTAAAAATTATAGAATCATGATAGGCAGTCTACTCTATTTGACTGCAAGTAGACCGAATATCATGTACAGTGTTGGTCTTTATACATGGTTCCAAGCATATCCAAGAGAATCTCATCTCCATGCAGTTAAGAGAATAATCAAATATATCAAGGGAACTGTTGATCATGGAATTCGGTACGACAAAGAAACAGGTTCTGAACTAATAGGATATAGTGATGCCGAAATGGGCGGGAAATGTTAAACACCGCCAAAAAAAAAAAAAAAAAAAAAAAAAAACTTATGGAGGAGGTTTTTGCATTGGGAAGAATTTAGTCTCATAGTTTAGTAAAAAAAAAAAATCAATCTCCTTATCAACAACTTATCGAGGTTGAATACATAGTCACTAGAATTTGCTGCACCCAATTGCTTTGAATGAAACAGATGTTGAACGACTATGGATTTAAGTGCAAGACTATGGATCTCCATTGTGATAATACTAGTGCTATCAACATTGCTAAAAATCCTGCTCAACATTCTAGAACCAAACATATCTATATACGTCATCATTTCATCTGAGAGCTAGTTGAAAGTGGTGAAATAAAGATGCACTACATTCCAACTGAAAAGTAATTGGCGGACATCTTCACTAAACCCTTGTATGCAACCGGGTTTAATGTTTTAAATTCTGAACTTGGTATGTGCACCATATCCCAAAACTAGTTATGAATATGGTTCACCTAATTTAAGTCCCTTTATCTTTCTTACAAAGAGCATTTATATCTTTTTTTTTTTTTTAAAGTTTAATACTCTATTATCTTATCTATATATTATCTTATCTATTATCCTTTTAACTGGCATCTGCATTTAATTCTTGAAACGTGGGTCAATCAAACGTGACCAACGTCAACTGACATCACTTCCTAGCTCAGGGTTTTCACATTTTTCCATAATGTTAATTTCTCATTTCTCTCTCCTTTACTTTTAATCAAATTCATTTTTAGTTTTCAAATCCTCATCTCTTCTCCAAAATTTTCTCTCTCAAGTTCTTGCATTTTTCAAAAAAGCATGAAATCATCCCTAGATCCTTCCAAGTTTTTCAACTTCAAAAAGGTCACAAATAAGGCTATTGTCCAAGAAAAACACGAGGCATTGTTGGATATTTGGTGGAAAAACCTAATAATAATTCTACAAAATAAGGATTATTATTTTATGGAAAAACTGGGAAAGATGATCGGATGTGGTAGGAAGAACGAAAGGATACCGAGGAAAGATCTTTCCTTAAAACCTTATTTGTTACCTCCCACAAGTGATGTGAGCGTTATAGCCCCAGGTTTCCCATGATAAAACGTACTACGGTTCAATCGTTTGAGCACCCAAACTTTGAACCCGGCAAACTAAAGCAAGGCTTAGAACACAATAGGCTAAGTGGAGTAGAAGCATAGTGTTTTGGAGCTGAAAACGTAGAAGAACGGTTGTAGTAAAAATTTTGTTGCTCTCCTAGTTCTTATATAGGGTTATTTATAGAAATAACATTTATTTTGGCATTTAAATTGATATAAAAATCAGTTTGCAACAGCTGAAATAGCAGGCCACTACCTGCAAATTAAATTCAGAATTCAAAAATTGAAATTAATGCAAGATTAATTTCGTAACGGATGAATTTAATCTTCACAGCAGTCAGAACCATTGGCTCATGCTGTTCTGCCTGGCTCCAGATTCGGCCTCCCAAGGCCGAACCATCAGTATGAGAGCTTCACCCGGAGGAAAGGGTGAAGAGAACGTCGGCCACCCCCCTCCTCCTTCGTCTCCGCTGGAGACGAAGGAGGAGGGTGGGAGGTGGCCGACATTTTTTTAAAAAAGTTTTTTAATTTAAAAATTAGTAACATAATTTTTAAAATAAAAATTAAATAAATTAGCTGGTCACTAATGACTTGGCCGAAAATTTTACCAGAAAATTTAACGAAGGGACTAAATGTGATACAAATTGAATAGTCATGCATCTAATTTAAAAACGGAGAAAGTTTCATTTTTAGTCCTATGCCTATATGGGTCTTGTTAATTTCAGTACTCGACTTTAAAAACTAACAATTTAGTCCTTTGACTATGCAATTTTTAACGCATTTGGTCCTTTCGAACAAATCACTGGTCAATTTTCGCCGAAAAAATGTAGTTCATTTTAAATTATTTATAAGTGAGGGCAAAACGGTCAATTTAAGTTTTCAAAAGGGCAAAATTCGCTGGGTATTCTTATTTCTCCATATTAAAGCTAGTTTGTGTATGGAAGATGGAATAGAAGTACGCACATGTCATATATTTCCCTAATTCCCTCCTCCATCTCTCCACCGCCACCACCTTCATTCCTCCGCAGTCTGTTTACAAATGGGTAACTGTTGCGTTAGCTCCACAACCAAAGAACCATCGCAGAATTCTGTGCGGAAAACTCCACCCCACCACCCGTTGCCGGAAGAGGAGACGATCAAAGAAGTCCTCTGCGTAACCCCCCACCATTTGCAATAACCCACTGCCGGTTCCTGCGAATGGGTCCCAGTGTCCCACCATCGGAAGAATTCACCGTCGCCAGAGGAGAAGCGCCGCAAAAACGACGACAGGAAACCTTCCGCCTGGATGGTTTTCCGCTCCGATGGGCTCTCCGACAAGATTTTCTCACCCGAGATCCGCAACGAGAGTGTTCCCATGACCGACAAGAGAGATCACGAAGCTGAAGTCGTCGTAGAGGCCCGCAGGAGGTCCCCAGCGAGAGTCTTCCTCCTTCTCTTCTTTCTTCGCTTCCATCTTCTTCCCGACGTGCGTACTGCTATTCCATCTTACGCAAACTAGCTTTAATAATATTGAGAAGAGTTAATTCCAGCAATGATACCGCGAGTATGGTGATTTTCCACAATTAGTCCTCGACTTTTAATTTGGACAATTTAACCCTCTGACTATTAAAATCTTTTCAATTGTGGTTCTTTCGTCAAATCCTAGTTAAGTGAACGTTAAATTGAGAGGTAAAAGCGTCCTTTCCCCTAATATTTCATCTTCATTCCCATGTCGTTGCTGTATTTCCGTTGCTGTATTTCCTCCCCCATTCGTGAGCTTGGCAAGACCATAGTCAAATAGTTTAGGATTAAAGTCTTCATCCAATTAGATGTTTCTGGAACTCAAATTACAATAGATCATAGGGGGGTTGGCCACGGCAGCTCCGGCGGCAAGTTCTTTGGTTTCTCGTCGTCCTCGTCTCTCGCTGCAGAGCTTCCAGCATTTCTTCCAACGAGCTCCGAGTTCTTGCGCCATGCGAAACAGACAACATTTTTTCGCATTCAAAAACCTCTCCTCTCACTATATATCTCAACTCGAATAAGATACAAAAACATTATCACTGAACTCGAAACATATTATTAGAAAACTCTAGTTCACATCAGAACTCCGACGAACGCCGCTGGAAACTCGAAAGCCCAGAGTTGTTCTTTGATTCAGATACTCAAATTCTAACTAAAAACACGAAAACCCAACCAAAAATGCATAAAGCTCTCAACTTTGGCCTTGTATAAAGTATAAACACTACACAAACGAAACATGAAAAATTTTAAGCAGCCAAAGCTCAAAACTTTTTTTGTGTTTTGTAAATTATGCTAAATCAAGAAAGCCCACTCCTAACTCCTCAACAGTACATATGCAGAACCAAAGAAAACACAGAGAAAAACCCAAAAAAAAAAAAAAAAAAAACTGTATTTAAACAAGAGTTATGGGTGAAAGTGTGAAACTCCCAACCAATTGTCCAAGGAAGAAGAAGTTTGTATTTTCGAAAATAATTTTTTTTTAAAAAACAAGGCCTGCATTTGTAATGGAGCAAGTGTATTAAGTACTCAATCAGTTAATATATAGGTAGTGAAAGAAAAAAATAGTACTCATTACCCAGCAAATGTTCTGTAAGAGAACCCATAGGCAAGTATTCATACACCAAAAGTCTTTATTCTCCATTGACGCAATACCCGATTAGATTTACCAGATTGGGGTGGTTAAGGAGAGTTCGCGTTAGAACTTCGACAGAGAACTCCTTGCTCAGCTTCCTTGTGTACTCGTCCTATCTAGTTGTTTCATAGCCAGGACCGTGGGAGGACTGCGCCGCCGCCGCCGATACACTCTGCTGAATCCGTTACTCCAACGAGTTTCTTTAGTTCCCAACTCAGTCATCGGAATTATGCCGCGATTTCCTATCCAAGTGCCTGCAACGAGATTTGAAGAAGCGATGAAGCTCCGATCAACTGCTACGCCACCCATTCGTTTCACTGTTCCCTCAGCCAGATTCCCTCGCCGTTGCCGCCTTCCCCTCTCCCTGCTGAGTGCTGGACTGGTTCAACTCAGACTCCGATTCCGACACCGAGGATTACGGAGAAACCGTTAGCTTCTCGGCAAAGGAGAGCATCGGGAAATTAGCTTTGGGAATAAGTTCAGATTGGGAGGGATCAGATGGCGGCTGGGTGAGTGGGTGGTGGTTCGTGAAGGATCATTGACTCGCCAGAATATCCAAATTTTATGAGGACAGAAGGGGAAAGCAGCAGTTTGAAAAACTGAAACGAGAATGAAGATGAAATATTAGGGGAAAGGACGCTTTTACCCCTCAATTTAACGTTCACTTAACTAGGATTTGATGGAAGGATCACAATTGGAAAGATTTTAATAGTCAGAGGGTTAAATTGTCTAAATTAAAAGTTGAGGACTAATTGTGGAAAATCACCATACTCGGGAGACCATTGCTGAAATTAACTCTATTGAGAAATAAGAATGCCCAGCGAATTTTGCCATTTTTAAATTTAAATTGACCATTTTGCCCCCACTTATAAATAATTTAAAGGGAAAATGACACTTTTTCCCCTGTGTTGTTTACTAATAGTACATTTCCCCCCTGTGTTGTTTATGTAACCACTTTATCCCCCTCAATTATTTTCGAAGTGGCTATTTTCTCCCTCTTCGTTAAATAAGTGTTAGAGATGTTAAATATGAGGGTAAAAATGACATTTCACTTATTATTATTATTATTATTATTACTATTATTATTATTATTATTATTATTATTATTAATGAATTTGGTTTGCAATATATCTGTGCATTTTAGGCGTGGAGTATTGCAGTATATTAAGGCGTTTGGTGGGACTTATTATTATTATTATTATTATTATTATTATTATTATTATTATTATTAGTAATGAATTTGGTTTGCAAACTGTAGTATATCATGACGTTGGGTGGGGTCGTTCATTA